TGCCTGAATGAAACGTATTTGTATACCTAACCCTTAACTGTACCCCACAACATCATAATTAAAAATATTGATTAAAATAAAAAAAAAAAAAGAAAGAAATGGACCTGGTCGGGAAGGGAGTGGTGTGAGGGATAGAAGGGGGAAAGCCATGCTCTTCTGTGTTTCTGGCCAGGGCAGCATGGCCTTGTGGATGGCTGGCCACATGCTAGGCCTGTGCTAGTGCTGGGACACAGAGATGGGCTAGAAAGTTTATGCCCTGGAGATGCTCACAGCCTAGTGGGGAGACAGTCATGCCAACAAACCACCATTGCTCAGGACATTCATGAGCATGCACACAGAGAAGGACTTTTTGGTCTTTCAGCCAATACTTCCACAAGTAGAATTGTGATTTTAATTCCAGCTGTGAGTGCTGCATCAAGCAAATCCCTTCAGCATGAAACTGAAGACCCTCTTGTGGGCTACCCCCAAGTCTTCATAGCATAGTAAAGAAGAGAGAGGTCTGGTTTTGGAATTAGGTGAGCCCTACTTTGAAACCTGGACTTTCCCCTTACTTGTGGGAGCCTATAAAAAGATCTTAAAAGGGAAAGTAAGCGAAGAGAGACTGAGAGATTTGTTCAAGGTCACATAGATACAGTAGGCGGCAGAGTCAGATTTTGCATCCAGGACCTTGTAACTCAAAATTGTGAGAGTCCATTCATCCTGGGCCCTCAGCAGAGGATGCTCACAGACAGGTACATGGTGAGCACATGGGTCAGTGCTCACTCATAGTTTCATGATTGTCTTTGTATCATTCTTTCCTCCAGGGACTCCATGGATCACCTGGATTGCCTGGACCCCCAGGAACTAAAGTGAGTACTTGTCTAAGCAGACTGTGGGTGCCATGGCTTGCTCCTAGAACGGGACCATGGAATATTATGTTATAAGCATCTCTGCTTATAATCCCAGCACTTTGGGAAGTTTCTTGGCTCAGCACATGTTTCTTGGCTCATCACATTCTATTTGATTAAAGTCCCATGACTCTTAACTGTTAATAGTGAAGTAGTTGTCCATGAAATTGGTACTTAATATATATATATATTTTTTGAGTTGGAGTCTTACTCGGTCGCCCAGACTGGAGTGCAGTGGCCACTCCCGGCCACCGCAGCCTCGACCGGCCGGGCTCCGGCAATCCTTCCGCCTCAGCCTTCCAAGTAGCCGGAATTACAGGCATGTGCTACCACGCCTGGCTGATTTTTGGATTTATTGTAGAGATGAGGTCTCGCTGCCCAGGCGGGTCTCAAGCCCACAGGCTCAGGCAATCCACTCACCCCAGCCTCCCAAAAGCGTGGAATTACAGGCTGAGCCACCGAGCCCGGCTGGTACTTAATATTATTAAATAAAATTGCAAGAGATGCTGGCTTTCAACTGGCAGAGCAACGTATCTAAGGGATTTTGTATTATTATTACTAGTCTAATTGTGGTAACAGATAATTCACAAATTTCAGAGGCTTAACACAATAAAAGTTTATATTGCATTCACACTAAGTCTATGGGGGCCTTGATGTGGGGAGTTCTAACCCACAGCCGTTTAGGGACTCACTCTAATCCAGTGGCTCTTCCATCCTCTAAAGTTTCAGAATCTTCTACTAAATCCTTGGTATGCAATGGCAAATGAGGGAAAAGAGAATGGAGAACCTGGTGGGAAGATTTTATGGGTCCACTGTTCATTTCTATCAATCTCTATTGGCAATCACAAGAGAGGCAGGGTTTATGATCTTTTCCAAGAGGGAAAGGGAAACACTTGGTGAATACCAGCCAGTCTCTTCCTCAATTCATTTTCACACATAATTCAGAAATGACTTTTCCCATGAAGAGATTCCCTTTACATTGAATCATGCATTCATTTACTCATTTATGAATTGTCTACCAGTTCATCCATTATTTAATTCACTGCACATCTATTGAGCTTCTTACCACATGATGGACTTTAAGGCTGTGAGAGGACAACAGTGCATGTGACATATTCACAGTTCCTACAACAGCCCATGGTCTAGATGCGAAAACAGACATATAAATAGGCAAAAGCAGACAAGTACTAGGAGAGAAGAAAGTTCAGGGCTCACATGAGATCAGAGGCAGCTCTCTAATCCAGACTGATTGGATTATGGATGACTTCTTGAAGGAAGTGATATGTGTCCTGATTTTTATTTTTAACTTTTTTTTTTTTTTTGTAGAGACAGAGTCATGCTATGTTGCCCAGACTGGAAGGCGAGGGCACGATCAGAGCTCACTGGAGTCTCAAACTCCTGGGTTCAAGTGATTTTCCCACCTCAGTCTTGCAAGTAACTAGGACTATACAGATGTGTACCACCATAACCAGCTAATTTTTTTTTAAATTTTTGTAAATTTTTTTGTAGAGATTGGGGTCTTGTTATATTGCCCAGGCTGGTCTCGAATTCCTGGGCTCAAACGATCCTCCCACCTTACCTTCCCAAAATGCTGAGATTACAAGCATGATCCACTGTGCCTGGCCTGTCCTGGTTTTTAAACACATGTAGCAGTTATCATGGGAAGACATTGAGAAAGGAGTCCTTGGCAGGAGTAGTAACACAGAGGAAGATAGTGAGGCATGAGATAGAATATGTTCAGAGAAGAGCATGGACTAGACATATGCCCATTTCAATGACATTTATTCGACCAACTCAAGTGCATCAACTTTTTAAAATGTGGGTGAAACAGTCAGTTGCAACATTAGAATGCTTACTTTTTTGGCTTTAATTTGACATGCATGTTCAAAATCCCATCAATAAAAGTGTCATTGTAATATTTGCACACACACTTTTTAAAAGTTCTTATGAGTCCTCAATGTCATCCCTCCTCATTCCTCAAGCCATTTTTTGAGTCAACTAGCACTTTTTAAGAGCATATCATCGTCCATCCCACTTGAATTTTTTAAGATTCAACACTTTTGGAATGTATGTATGCTGCTGTTACTGAAAGTTTTGCGCCAAGCCCCAGAGACCATTCACTTAACAGCAAGAGATTTTTCTTTTTCTTTCTTTTTCTTTATTTATTTGATTTGGGTACTTACACAATACAGCTGCAAAGTGTAGTTCTTGTTTGTAAAAGACTTGCTCACAATAATATCTAGTATATTCAAATGCGAGGCTCCAGGATTAATTACTGTGTCTACATTAAATGTCTTTGCTTCATGATTTGTTCCCCTATTCAAGCAGGTGACCTCTGCTGGCATCTTCAGCTTACATTAATTGAGGTCAAAGTAGGCTAATGTGCTTTCCCTAATAGTGATGTTGTCATTCATGATCATTTATATTTTTAATGAGAGGGTTCTTTATGTGGTATGAGTGAATATATGGCAACTCCCTATTTTTTGAGGAAATGCATTTGGGAATAACTTGGCCTGAATGTGGGAGCATAAAATAGTTCCATGTGCCTGGAGCAGCAGACATGTGTGGAGAGGAGCAGGTCAAAAAAGCAGGTCCCAGTCGGGCTTGGTGGCTCAGCCTGTAATCCCGTGCCTTTGGGAGGCTGAGATGAGTGGATTGCCTGAGCCCGTGGGCTTGAGACCCGCCTGGGCAACCTGGCGAGACCTCATTTCTACAATAAATAAAAAAATTAGCCGGGCATGGTAGCGCGCGCCTATAGTTCCAACTACTTGGAAGGCTGAGGCGGAAGGATCGCCGGAGCTCAGCAGGTCGAGGCTGCAGTGGCCAGGAGCGGCCACTGCACTCCAGTCTGGGCGACAGAGTGAGACTCCAACTCAAAAAAAAAAAGCAGGTCCAGATTCCAGAGAAACTTTTGTGTTAACAACCAACCTGCGGACAAATGGGAGGCTCCCAGGTGATGGGTGAGCCTAGCCCAGTCTAAAGTGCAAGACTCAGGGGCTCCCACTTCTTCCCCCTTGAAGGAGGAGAACCTTGGGAACCTGGAGGACCTTAAAAGCCTCATAGAAGAAAGAAAGGCAGGCCGTTGCCTTACTAAGCTATGGTGTGGCCATGTGCTCTTTGAGCTATGGCCAGGCCGTGTTTTCTTAAGCTCTGGCCTCCTCCCCTACCTTGGGGAGGTGAAACTCCTCTCTCTCTTTCTTTCTAATTTAGTTTATAAACTATATTTTCTAATCTAAAAAAGAAAAAGAAGAAAGGAAGGCAGGGGAGCTAGAAGTGGTGGAGTAGCAAAGTGACTTCACGTGCCCCTTCTCTGTGATAATTACTTAGGACCATTTATCTAATAGGAGGAGACTTTTTCTTCCCTCCTTTATTTTTTTATTCTGTGACTGTATCTTTGGGATCTCAACAATATATCCACAGGGTTGCTACCTGTCTCCCAGGCAGCGTTTAGGGGAAAAAAATGATATCATACAAATAAAAATAGTTGTTGGCACAGTGCTTGTCACAGTTACATGCTCAGTATTCATGATGCATGTTATTAGATCGTCTTCTAGGGTTTGCTTTAGGTCTGCAGCAAGAAGGCGAGGTCTAGAGAGACTGTGACTCATGGCAGCATGTTGTTGGAGAGAAAGCAAAGGGATTGGTAGTAGTGGAAAACTGCCGTGGGGGGGGCGGGGGGGAAGGGGACACACTTTATCAATAAGGGTACCTGATCTCAAACCAGGTGAAGTGGGGACCAAAGTGAGGCCCCAAATTTACCTGTACAATGACCATTTATATACCTAACCCTGAATTGCACCCCACATCTTAAAAAAAAGTACAGGGGAACTGGGTGGAGGCTGTGCTAAAAAGAGGCAGTTCATATCGTTTGCCCACTTTTTAATGGGATTATTTGCTTTTTTTCTTGAAGATTTGATTGAGTTCTTTGTAGATTCTGGATATTAATCCTTTGTCAGATGTATAGTTTGTGGATATCTTCTCCTGTTCTGTAGGTTGCCTATTTTTCTCTGTTGATTATTTATTTTGCTGTGTAGGAGCTTTTTCAGCTAAGTCCCACTCCTTCATTTTTGTTTTTGTTGCATTTACTTTTGAGTTTTTAGCCATAAACGCTTTGCCTAGGCTGATGTCCAGAAGAGTTTTTCCTAGGTTTTATTCTAGGATTTTTATGGTTTCAGGTTTGACATTTAAGTCTTTGATCCATCTTGAGTTAATTTTTGCATGCAGGGAAAGCATCATCCTAAGTGAACTAACTCAGGAACAGAAAACCAAACACCGCATGTTCTCACTTATGAGAGGGAGCTAAACTAAGGATCTGCGAAGACATAGAGAATGGTATCATGGACACTGGCGACTCAGTGGGGAAGGGGGAGAAAGGGTGGAGGGAGGAAAAACCACCTACTGGGTACAATGTGTAATGATGGGGGTGGTGGGTACACTTAAAGTCCAGACCAAAAACTATGTGTACCCCCTAAAGCTATTGAAATAAATAAAACAATTAAAAAAAAGTCTTTAACAAAAAGCAGAGGCAGGCTAAGACCCCCCGGGGTTGGAGTGCAGAGACCCCTGACTTGGTCCAGTTGACCAACCAGTTTCAACTTCATGGGTCTCAGAGTAAATCAGACTTCCTCTTTGACCACGTTTTTCTCCTATTTAAAATGTGAGACCTTTAAACACTTGATTCATTCCACGGTTAATATCATATGCATGTGTCTAGGGCCCCAAGTATCTTGTATTTCCCAGAACCAATCATATCCTATTATTCTAAAGAAACAGAATACACTAGTGGAGAATTTGAAGAAAATTTGAAGAGGGAACTATTGGCAGAGGTGAGGGCGGGCAAGCTCTGCTGTAACTAGCAGGAACCAACAACAGCAGTAGCATAACCACCCCAGGCCTGGAGGGTCAGGGAACAAAATGTTGAGAGATTTGGATTTTGGTTCATATCTTTTGTGAGAACTTTGCAAGCCCTGCTTCTTCTTATCCCCATGCATATTCCTTCTTTTCAGAACTTAGCATTGAATATTGACAACTGGCCAGCCTCATGGCTGAGTCATCTTTTGGGCTTGAGACCTAGACCCCTGCTTGCAATAAATGAGTGCACATCAGTTGAATAAATATATAACTCACATACTCATCCAAGCAACCGTTGTGCGGCAGGAGAAGCAAATCATCTTAGAATGATTATTTTTCTTAAAGGTCCAAAATGCAGAATTTTCCAATCGAAATGAATAGAAAGAGGATAGCCTGCTTATTAGTGAGTTTTTTTTCAACACTTAAAACATAGACCTTAATAAAGCAATGTGTTGCCTAGCAATATCAAGTTCTACCTTAAATCAATTGCTGCATAATATCTCATTGGCTGTTCACAACAAGCTCCCGAGGCTGTTTCCATTTGTCATACATGTTAACTCAACCCAGAGATACCAAGTGGCTTGAGCAAGGTCACCTGCCACCTTGGTCTCAGGCTTGGCTTCGGTTCAGCAGACCTAATACGTTCTGGAGCACAGTCCCTTACACAAAATTGTTGCGACAATGTGTGTTTTGGATCAAATTTTATCTGGACTTTGGAAAGGCAGTAATATGCAAAATACATACCTCATAACATTTACTGTGGTATCTGAGGCAGCACCCCTAACCAAGCTCACCAATATTTATGAAACAGACATGTGTAAATATTTATATAAAATGGGATAACTAAAATCTGTACACAGCCTGTGTCAGCATAAGTCAGGTTGTGCTGCCAACTGAGTTCAGATAAACACTTGTTTTTAGAGCTTGAGGATTTTGAAATTATGGGTAAGGTGTTGCTCTGTCTCAGCTTCTTTTATAGAAAATGGAAAACAGAATTTCTTCCTTTTTCTTCTTTCTCCCATCAATGTTCAGAATGGCAGGAGGATGAGAACAACAGCAAACACAACAACTAACTTGTGTTCAGTGCCATGGCGGGCACTGTGCCAAGCACGCTCTCTGCATAATTTCATTTAATGGGCACAGCATCTGCAGATGTGGCAACTCCAGCTCTCTTCGCTTTATAGGTGAAGAAGCTTAAGCTCAGGAGCTTGTCACTTTTTAAAGATAGTAACTGTTGAAGCCAGAACACATATCCAGGCATCTAGCACCCATGTCCACACAACTAACTACTATGCTTGAAGGCAAGGGTCTTATGTCAGTCATCCTTGAGTCTGTCACCCCCACACCCACAAAAGTGACCCGTAAAAGATAGGTACTTGGTACATTATTGATGAATTGATTTACTGCTGATCTGGGATCTGAGTTGAAATATGAGCACGTGTTCAAATCTGAGGTGTGGTTGGGATGGGGGTCTGATGTGGTTGGGAGAAAGCATGTGGAGAGGGCTATATTATTGTAATCACATTTTGAGTCACTGTCAAGGTCAGGGAATGGCAGGCCTTGGAAGCCATATGATCAGGTGGCTGTGGTTCATGCATGTAGGGCTGACTTGCATGACGGACTCCTTAGGTGGACTATAGTGTGGCCCGTGGAGGGCATGTGGTGAGAGAAGACTTCAATGGTAAGTGCAGTCAGGATCCTGGGAGGAGCATAATCATTTTTGTACCCTGGCTCTCTCCTTCCTGGAGCTGACCTCTTGATTTTATTTTTCTGTCTTTTAGGGGGACCGAGGAACACCTGGGATCCCTGGTTCTCCTGGCAGCCGTGGTGACCCGGGCATTGGAGTTGCCGGTCCTCCTGTGAGTCACCGTTCAGCCAGCTGTTACCTGCTCTCAGGCAATGTAGCCAATTCTCTGCTTGCTCCCCTGCAGGGAAATTGTTTTTCCAGCTATCCCAGTAGTGGGTCACAGGTCCTAAAATCATTAGGATGGTAGGTCTGTCTATTTGGCTGACATTGGTGTAAATCTTGGGGTACTTCTCATAGGAATAAGGTTTTTGGAGACTGCAAAACTTGTCTGATTAAAAGAGGAGAGAAAAAATCTCACTAAAACTGAAAAAGAAAATTTAAAAACAGGCCAATCTTTGAGAAATGGAGTCAGAGCTAGTGACATCAAGCTGACTAGGGAAGGGCTATGGCATGGGAAAACCTATGTGCTTTCAAGTATTTCAAGCAAAAAAAAAAAAAAAAGTGAACTGGTTATCCTAGTTCTCTAAGTAGTACAGATGAGAACACAAATGGAATGGAATCATGTCTCCAAAATAACATCCATAAAATGGTCCTCAAATTGCTAGTTTTAATGAATAATTAACATCTGTCTACTAGGTGTGAGTTTGCAAATTCCCTAGAGGTGGTAGCTTTAAGAACTACTAAAACCTTTGAATTACAACAGGTCTTAAGGATCAGTGATGTCCAGGCCCCTATCCAATTGAGAATTGCTATCAGTATTCTCACCAGCCTTCACCTGAGTGCCTCTAGAAATTGAAGATATGCACCATTCAAAACCAGTACATCTGGCTCTGAAATTCAGAAATATATTTCCATAAAGAATATGATCTTATTTTCATTGACACTAGGATTATGGTCTTTTTAATTTTCCACCCATTGTCTTTAATTATTCCCTTTGTTCCTCAAAGAATATATTTTTCCTTGTCCTTTGTACTGGATTATAACCTAGAACTTAAGGACAGTTTTTAGTCTTAAAGTCTTCTTCCGTTTAGTCCCTTATTTGCTACAAATATTATACCCTCTTAATGCACCTTAAAATTGTATTTACTTTTTTTATTCATAGCCATCCTTATTATTTAAAAGAAGCTCAGATACTTAGTCATTTTCAGATGTCATTGCTGAGCCTTACAATAGTCAAACTACCCATGTATTATAGTTGTTGCTATTATTTTAACCCAGAAGCACAATCTAACTTTATTTGTATTAAATGTAACCTGAATATAAATTAGAGTAGCAAATGGCCCAGTCTCTTCTTAGTTTTCCATATCAATAGGTGAAGACCATGACCAAGAATAATTAAGAGTAATATTATTCATATATTACTCTCAAAGAATAAGAAAGAAAACTCAATTTATTACCCATAGTATCATTTATAAAATAAAATCTTCCCTCCCTTACTTCTGTGATTCTCTTATATCCTAGAGTTTAGTTCTTTAAGCTCTCACCCTCTTCCCAAATTCTCTTCTCTGTCCTTTCACTCTTCATCAGGCCTCATTACCTCCCCACAGGAAATGACTACCTTACTTCCGCTCTAACATACTAGCAATGATGCCTCATTTTAGGGTGTTCTGAGGAACAAAACCCCCACTTCATCCCTTCAATCTTATCTTTCTTCTTTGACTATTTTTGTCAGTTTTTTTGTAACTAGAAGGAACAATGTGGCCAAAGATGCAGCAAGGAAACACAATAACATAGACTTTCCTATCTCTGAAATCCTCCTTCGAAAATCCTCCTATTAAGGGCCCCTTTTGGTGGAGTTTAGATTCTGATTCGTGTAGGAATTACTCCTTAGAATAGAGAACTGACTATAAGTGAAACTGAAGACCCATAACCTGGGTGAGGTACCCCCTGCATCACTTAACAGGTTTCTATGTGTTTCAATCTACTCCCCAAGGATTCATTACCTCAACCCTTACTCAGAAAGCCAGGAAACAGAGGTTGATACCACCTGCCACTTAAAGTCAGCTGAAATCACCCATGAAATATGTTGCTGCCTAAGTGGTTTCACCTGAAAAGTAATTGGCTGCCTCTAGTCAAGAGGCTGTAAATCAAGTGTTTAGTGTCTTTGCTACCACTTGGACTTATTAAAAACTTCCGTGGTGGATAAAACTTTATTGAATTTTCATAAATCCTATCTTTGGCTGCCAGCCTAGGTTGCTAATGGCCTGGGAATCTGAATGGAGGATTCAAATATGCTGAGTGCAGGTTTGTGGAGGAGGTGAAGAAGGGATCAGTTGGGGGAGAAGGAGTCAAGTTCATCAGGGATGCAGCTGCCTCTTTACGGAAACATTGCTATTTACTGAGCAGTCCTGTGTCTGATCTTGTGCTGGGTCTCAAAGCATCCACATCCACCTCCTCATTTAGTTTGTACAAGGTGGTTTTTACTTTTTGGTTAAGGCTGAGATCCCATGAAAGCAGCCCCTGAGAACAGGATTCAAGGGCAAGGAGTTTAATTGGGAGCCGGTCCTCAAAATCATCAGTTAAGGAGTGAAAAACTGAGAGAGAGAAAGAAGGAGAGCCAAGAGAGAGTATGTTAATGAGCAAATGGCCACTGTGAGTACCTGAGACTCACCTGTCTTGACCCCGGGTGACTATGTGGTTCAGTCTGAAAGTTGTTCAGCAAAAGGGACAAAAAGCTGGGGTGTATATGTACCAACTTCTGCCTATCTTTGATTGGAGGCTGCTTCAAAACTGTGTTTGAGCTAAGCATCTTCCTGTGACTAAAGAAAGCCTTCGGCAGGTGCTTGCAGAAGTGAGAAGTGGGATTGGTGCATGTCCAGTGAATGTGGGGAAGGGGACTAACATGTTTGCTGTGTCACAGTTTTCCAGGTAAACAATTTGAGGTTCAGAAGGTGAGGTGGTTTGGCCTGTGTCACATAGCTAGTCCAGGGGCAGGGGTAGGCCACAGTCCTACTTCCCACACTCTCAGAAATGAGCTCTTTCTCCTGCATTACCTTGCCTGTGGCTTCTGTGGGATGGGCAGGATTTATTCATTTACATTAAGATCCCTCACAGAAAACACATTAGGGATGGATCCAGCCATAAATTATTCTTCACTTTCTTCCTCCCGTGGTGATATGCTCCAAGGCCTTTGGCATCTGGGGCAGTGCTGACTTCCTGGAAGGGAGCCCAGAGCTTGATCTGCCCAGTTCTGTACCACCACGAGACTGGTGAATAAATAGTGAGGCAGTTTTTTGGGGTTTTGACTTCCAGTCTCTAGATATTAATAAACAAACAAAAAAATCCCTTTAATCTTTAGATTTCCTCTAATCCTCCTTTAGTAAGGTTTAAAATGCTTTAAAAAAAATGAGCCTCCTCGGACCTTGGGATAGACCAAGGTGCTAGCGATCCTCCCTGATTCCTGGAGCTTGGGGTTTGTCAGGATAAGGGGTCCCTACATAACCCAGGACACATTCCCATTCCTTCTTACTTTAGCCATCAGTTTCCTCATGGATCAAGTGTCAGCAATTTCTGCAGCATCATCAGGGCAGCTGAGAGGATTTCAACCTGATAATATTGGTGATAATACCTGGCTTCCTGGCTTTGCTCCATTGATGTCATAATAATCCTCTTCCCCTGATATCTTTGTCAGCCTGTGTGGCCTAAAATGACCTCTCCCTTTTTTGAGCTTCTCACGCTCCCTCTCTGAAATTAGTTGTACTGATGCTTTACTTTGATCTGGGTATCAAATACATGAAGTACATACAAAAGGGGACAGGCTCCCTGACCTCCAGTGGCCTTATAGTCTAATAGCAGCAAGAAGCAGACAATCCATTGGGTGCAATAAAATAATCTCAAGTGCCCCCACAGAAGGGCTGTTTTTTTTACACTCCCCCAACTTTCAAGGAATAATAAAATAATAATAAAAATGTAAATAATAATAAAGATGTAAATAATAAAATAATAGCGATGGCAGCCACTGAAACATAAGCGCCATCACAGCCAACACCAACTGCCTATTTGCAGAGGTCAGAATGAGCAAAGGCCTTCACACCTACCTCTCATTTATTTCACGGGTATTCTCCCATTTGATCCTCCCAGAGATCCTAGCAGGCAGATTCCCCTTTTCATTTTCAAATGAGAAAGCAGATATGAAACCACCTCCTCAAGGTCACTGTTAGGACATGGTAGAGCTATGCCAACTCCAAGCAACTCCAAGCAACTCCAAGCAAATGCCCTTAATTTTCTTTCACATGGGGACAGTACAGTTGACCCTTGGACAACGTGGAGGTCAGGGTTGCCAATCCTGTACACTGGAATATTCTAGCATAACTTTTGACTCTCCTAAAACTTAACTACCAATAGCCTGCTGTTGACTGGAAGCCTTTGTAATAACGTGAGCAGTCGATTAACACATATTTTATTTGTCATAGGTAACAAATGCTGTATGTTCACAATAACATAAGCTACAGAAAAAAAAATTAAGAAAATCATAAGGAGGAGAAAATATATTTACTGTATTGTATTCGGCAATCCTGTAAGTTTAAGGCATCTGTTTACATGACGATTTGTCTGAAATAACAGTAACCCCAGCTGCAGACCTCAATCTATGGTACCTATTAAGCAATTCAGCTTTTGCTTGTAATGTCATGACTTTTCTCTGCTTCTTGGGAGTGCTTCCAGCATCACTAGCAGTACTTTGTATGGGCCCCATGGTGTTATTCAAAGTTTATGCTCTTGCACTCAACATGTGAATACTGCGGGAGATCACTTTTTACTGGGATACACAATTTACTGGATAGAGGAACTGCTCAAAAGAAGATGACTAGTAGCACACAGCCATGTGTGTGGATACTCACAACACTTGGGCTCACCACAGTAGCAGGACGTGGCTACAAAATCATTAGTACAGTATGGACTACAGTTAGCTTTATGCAGTTATGATTTAATTACTGCATCTTTAGGTTTGGTTACATTTCTTTGGGCTGCTAATAATGCCAGGTAAAAATCTGTGTTTATATGCCTAAATTTTGATAATTTTTAACTTTTTATAATAGGTTTGTGTATATTTTGTAGTAGATGATTAAATAGACTAGTATCTACATATGTTTTGTGCATTCATGGTATACCTAA